TATATATATATATATATACTACCTATATGAAATGGTGTTTATATGATTCTTTGAAGTCTTATTAAATGTTATTACAAGAACAAAAATAAGGTTTATAATTGTTTGTATTTAACGTAACAAAATAGAATAAAATTATCCTGATACTTTTTATTATCTGTAAAATACGATATTAAATTTTTCAAGTACCATGATTTTTTTCTACATTATTTAATAATTGGATTTGAATTGTGGCCACACATCTTACTAGACAGACGAACAAAAGTTCTGATTTATGATAAAAAACAACTTTTTCTGAAAATGACAACATTGTTTTTAAATTTATTTATTGAAAAATATTACAATCTGTTTCAAGGACAGACAAAGTTTTACGAAATGTTTAATATATCTGTAATTTTAGATAGATAGATAGAAAAATAATTTTTTTCTGGGACACAGTCCCTTGAGAATAACAAAATAGAACAAAATTAAAAGATCACATCTGGCCAAAATAAAATCAATCGAAAAAAAGAAATAATGTAAAAAAAATATAAGGTAAACATTCTATATACAAAAAACAAAACAATTAATACTATGACAAGGCACTTAAAGCTATTTGCACTGATAGACTTGTATACACTTTTGAGAAAATAATAAAGAATTAAAATTAAAAATGTATCAATGAATCAATCAATGAATTTGTATGTATCAAATTCTCTATTAAAATCAGCTCGAATGGTTAGCAACTATCTGACTGTTCTTGGGATAGGAATTGGAATAGGAGGGTTTTGAATTTGGATATGGATGGGGAATGTCGAATTTTGATAGGGAGGGAATTCCAGAAATTGACAGAGCGAACAACAAAGGAATTTTGGAATGAGGCAGATCTGTGAGAAGGCACGTAAAGGTTAGAAGGTCGAGATCTTGTAGACAGGGAATGGACTGAGGATTTGAACTGGAGAAGGTTGTAGGCGTAAGAAGGACGATGGCTGTTGATGATTTGGTAGAGGAACGTAACTAGGAAATATTGTCTTCGGAAAGAGGGGAAAAGCCACTTTAACTCAGCGTAGTGGTGAGAAACATGGGAGTATCTTGGTGCCCCGATCACAAATCTTACGCAGCTGTTCATTAGTCTTTTCAGTCTATCACGGAGCTCCACAGAGAGGCCATCATACACCACACAGTTATAGTCAAAGTGGGGGGAAATGAGAGAGGAAACTAGGAGTCTACGCGTATGTTGAGGTAGGAGATGGCGGAAGCGATGGAATAGTTTGAGGGTGGAAATTGTCCGTCGAGAGATATGAGAAATATGGTGATTCCAAAGGAGGTTTTGATCAATGAAAAATCCTAAATTTTTAACAGAGGAGTAGAAGGAGATTGGCTGGTCATAAAGGTGAAGGATGGGAAAGTCTGGATGGGATCTAAGAAGGGGCTTGGAAGCAATGACAATGACCTGAGTTTTGGCAGCTTTAACCTTAACACCATTTACATTTGCCCAGGCACTGATTCGATGTATTTTTCGATCTATATAATTTTAGACTGGTTGGAGATTAATTTCCATATTTATTTATATTCTAGTCTATATAACGTTTTTTTAAATGAATTTATTTCGCTGATGTATAGTTTAGGTGATATGAAGGAAAGCTTAATGAAAAATGTGGGGTGAAATTTTTTTTATTTTCGAATATCTCAACTTTTTAGAGGCATGTAGCTCTAAAACGGTTGAGAATTCGGGAAAAACCTATAGAATAAATGTTTTCGATATTTGTCGCTATTTTCTATTTATGATTTAGTTGAATATTTTGACATAGTTGGAAAACATGGGACAAAATTACTTTAATTTCACTCCTCTTTAATTTTTTTTATTCAAATAAATAAAATATCTAAATTATTCCATGCATCAGTAAATCTTTCGAAAGCCTGCAGTGCAGAGAATCGGATATCGCTAATATTTGACTGCAGAAATATGATTAGATTATACATAGGAATGAGCACTTATTAAACACGGCAGGGAATTATAACGTAACTTTTTGGTATAGTTATTTGACGAGATATTTTCTCGGCCTTGCGTGCAGCATCGGCCTAGCACGCAAGTTTGGTAGCTTCTCTTAGCAATATTTTATTACGAGTATATTACGGACATGTCTTTTTACGGTTATTTACCAAAACCTTTTAATTAAGCTTAAGTAATTCCAAAAAGTAATTTGAAGTAAGTAACAGTAATTAATTAGGAAAATAGTTAATTTGAGTAGATATTCGACCACTGTTATGAGATAAATATCCTTTCACCTTTTTTTTTTTTTTTTAATTTTCACTTACCTATATATGAAATTTATAGTAATGGACAGTATTGCGATCGTGAAAATTTTCGGATCTGAGTTTTCAACGGAAATACATGTTTTTAGGTCTCCTGAGTCCAAATAACCAACTTTCTCTTACTATATATACATATATAGGTAAGTGAAACAGAAAATACCCATATTAAAATGTTAATAGATATATCGTCTATAATTTTTTCATTGACTTCTTGATCTGAAAATATTTATTTCTGCTAAGAAAAGGGTAGTAAGTAAAAGTCGTGTGATACGCCCTCCAGATTCGATTTTTGTTGTGTTTATGTTTTATATTCATCGACACCTTGGCATTCATTCGTTGCTGTGGCTGCTGTATTTATGAAATCTCGTTCACTATAAAATGAATATAATTTTCCTAAAGAACTTTTATCATTCGTCACAATATGAAATATTTTTAAATATTAGTCAAATTATTGTCGTCTGATTTTGTTGCCTTCTTACACTTCATAATGACAGGATACCCAAAAAAGTTCATTAGATAAAGATATTTTGTTAGTAAAGTAATAAGACTTCAGTAAATTTGATACAATTAGTGTTTGTGTATTGTTAATGAAAAATATAAAACCAATATTATATACTTATTGAAAATACCGTAGTTTTTTTAAAATATAATTAATTCTCTCATATTTTATTTAGTTTTTGGAGACAATGAATTTTCCTCATACACCTTTTGATCTCTATATTAAATTAAAACTTGTCTCTGTTATATTTGTATTCCAACCTTTCACTATGTCTATGACTCGTGTGTCACTATGACTATGTCTACCGTCATCAGTTAGAAAGTAAGTTCTATTTTCATTTTAACCCTCAAAACTATCTTGGAACTATTGTTACTATTTCAGTGGTATAGTTTGGTTTTAGTTACTATAATACGTAATTTTTAAACTTTCGGTTTGTATTTTATGGTTATCGGGCATGTCATTATTATTATTATTATTGTATTTACTGCTTATAATATTTTATTATTGTTAATTTTTTGCGGAGTATCCAATATTTCATGATTGTCAAAGCCGAAATTATGAGTTATTTTGATGCTACGCAATGAAATCAGGGTATTACACTTATTAATTTTCATATTCATTTATTGAAACATCTATAGTTTACAAAATACCATTCTGACTTTTTATCCATAAAAACGAATTTGATCACTTATTAACATATTGTTATTATTATGTACGCATTTAATAATATTTCTCATAGAATAATCAATTAACATTTTTAAGATATTTTTTGAATTGATTTAAATGCCAATCAGTTTATAAATTAGAATAAACTATTGAAATAAATAAATATAGCTTTATATATATATATATATATATATATATATATATATATATATATATATATATATATATATAAGCTTGTATATAAACTATGTGATTGCACGCATTGAACTGAATAAATGTATTCCAATGAGAGCGGAAAGATTAATTTGAACTGGATGTAAATTGCATAATAATTTGAGAAAATTAAGACAGTGTCATCCTTTAATATATTGAAATCACGTGTTGATAATTTGAGAAGTTGGCCGGAAGGAGCGTGAGGATACGCTCTATATATAATATTCTAAATTATAACAGTATTTTATTGGATTTACCGACGTTTCGACCTACATTGTAGTCAAATCCAATAAAATACTATCATAATATATAGTACTATATATTAACCGCATCTCCCGCCAACTTCTCGAAATATATTATCGTTTCCTATGTTTCTATGAATGGCGAAGTTTCTACTGTAGAGAATTTTTTCTCTTATTCCACTAGAAAGACTGATATTATAGTTGCCCATTTTATATACTTATGGATTCGAATGAAAATACTGTAATAAATATTGGTGTTACTGTAATAATCAAGTCCATTATATATCATGAAATGTTATAACATATTTGTTCGATATATGTCATGTTAATAGTTCATTTCCCCTTTTAATATGTGATGGCGTGCCCTAAAAAGGTCGATACCCCCATGGGCTAAATGGAAGCCTTATACTTGGATGGTATACATAATATATATTTCATTACTTTCAGCGTAGAATAAAAGATGAAATAAAATGGTTGTCAATATTCTTACAAATCTATAATTTATTTTTTAATTACATGTAGATTTATTTTTATTTATTATACATTGTATGTGAATGTGATAGAATATTACTCAATTAAGAAATGTGTTCCTCGATTAATTTAATTTAAAATATTTATTTAGTTGAAAAAAAAATACATGTAGGAATTGATTAAATGCTAAAACGTGGACGTTGCCCTATTATTTATTTCTACTGCCTTATTATTCGTCAAAAAAATAAAGAAACTAAGCATTAAAATATGAAATGAATATTTAATTTTTTTTTTAAAAACCTACTGAAGAATACATCCAACCTAAAGACTACATTAAAATAAATGCTGCTAAAACGAAAGAGAGGAAAGTGAACAGTACAAGCCAGGAAAATCTTATAAAAGGTCAAATAATCGAAATGGTTAGCAAGTTCTTTTAACTTGGTAGTATGTTAAGCCAGGATAAGGCTGCTGATAAAGACCTTAAAAGCCGTATAAAGACAGTAAAAGATATATTCTCGCATCTGTTGAGAGTATGGAAATTACTAGAGAAGATCCGAAGAGGGTACTTGGAAAGTCAGCTAGTAGGTGACTAGGAAGTTACAGGCATCCGTTAGTAGATGTCAATAGAAGGAACAAGTGAGTTTGGTTGGTTGAAACAATCTCCAATGGTGAACTCCGCTCAGATCAGATCATTAGATGTGAAATGGAGATGGCTGTGGAAAAAGGCAGTTAGAAAAAAGCATAACGAAATAATTCGTCAGAGTCTAGAGTGGAGCCCCAAGGACAGCGAAGTCGCGGCCGGCCTAGAGAAACGTGGTGGCGAACTCAAAAAAAGGAAATGTGCAACACATGACTAGAGATTGAGATACCTACCGGAGGTTTGTGAGGGCTTCGATGTCCTACCTAAGATATCAGAGGTATTAAAAGTAACCTAAGGAAATTATTTGATATATTATAACAATGATATATAAAAAAATTATTTTAATATTTTAAAAAATTATAAACGATTACCGAAATTACTTTATTCAACCTAAGGGGATGTAGTTGAATATCCACTTAAAAACATTGGGTGACTGTTACTGAAATTGACTTCTTGAATATTCAAACTTGGTGTAGTTGTCGGATGCCTCCTACCACACATTACATTTACAAGCACTTATCGTCCTACGCATTGGTGCATGTAAACATCCGAGGGTCTCGACCGATGGTGGAGGGTACCCGACTACTACACCAACTTTGAATATTCATAGGGTCAATTTCACTTACAATTTACCGACATTTCAAGTAAATTTCTCTTAGGTTGGATAGAGTTATTACCATTGTCTTTTGTTTTTTGAATTAAATTATTTTTTTCATAAAATTGTTTTTAGTAGGTCTCAAGTATGTTCTTTGACTGTTTATCTGCGTAACTTAGTTTTTTAAACTTATTAATATAGATCCAGAATGCTAAAACATTTTCTTCGCCTCTTATCTATTATTGGTGTTCCAAATTCGAACTGCTGGACATTGCTGTAGTGCTTGGTTCTGAATTTAGAACCGATATCTTTGCTATTATATTTATCTTAGTTGTGTTGATTTCTATAAATAAACTATTTCAGCAGAAAATATGTAATTTTCCTAAAACGTCAAATGTGAGATTTTGACAAAATCGCGGGAATGATTTGGTGGTGGAACGAACTCCAGTTCTACTGGGCAGTATGGATTTCCAACGAGACCTTGGCCTGTTCCTGGGGATCGTTCCCCTCGGGCCGACGTAGCCCTCGCCGGCTCCCAATTGCGGCCCTATCGGATCACAATCGATACAGGTGTCTGTCTGCGCCTTTTAGGCAGGTCTCTATCTCTGTGCAAATAAAAATGTCTTCTCTAAATATTTCACATTGTCAATAACCGGAAGGAAAAGGAATAGTGTACTTATATGAGAAAAAAAATCTCGTAAATTTAAACTGCAACCAAAAATTAAAAAAAAAGTGGCAATATTAATCTTAAATACGTTATTTTAAGATTGCAACTTTTTTTTTTAAATAAAAAAAAATTCATATTTACTCAATTACTTGAATTAGGAGTGCGTCTCGGAGGTGTGGTGGGGACTGGGGTATATGACCTAAATCCACTGTATCATGACGTATACGCCGGCCAAACATGTTGCTTTCAAACTGTTTAACTTTTTTACGTTCCCATTTATGATAACTAATGAAATACATCTTCAACTATATAATTTTGTTTGGGGCCGATAAAGTGAGAAAAAAAGGAAAGATATTTCTTGGTTGGAAGTTTCTAAACTTTAAATACTAATTGTTTTTATTTATTTATATATTTATTGAATAATATAACATTCTGTCACCTTGACGATGGTTATAGGGAGGTAAGATCACATTCACACTATGTGTACCAAACAAATAAAATAAACATCATCATAACAAGAACTAAATAATAATCAAAAAGTATATAGAATAAATAAAATAAACTAACCAAAAGATAGGTAAATTCAAAAGACAAAAAAAAAAACACAAACATACCCATATACTAGTGAATACTAGTAAAGGTAATAAGTATAAGATAAATGAAATATTTGCTAGGCCTTTCTCAACTCTAGTGACGTAGCTCCGTTCCCAACACTTTTCTTTATATATAATTCCTTATATTTGCAAATATACATTAGAAAAATTTTTGTCTTTTGCATTTTTGTTGTTATAACCTAATCTTCTTTGACAAAGAGAAATTTAAAATAACCAATTAAATTTATAATTATGTATTGAATAGATTTTTTAAAAATAATATAAAAAAATACATGAAAATAATACAACACATTTCTTTATAAGCTTTATTTATTTATGTTTACATTCCGCATCTATCCGAGCGGGTCATTAGTGGCATAATTAGTGATTACATAATAAATTATAGACAATGAAGAGTCTTATGCATTGAATTATGTACATGATGAGTTATACATTTTTAGGTGCATTAAGTTTTTATTTTTCAACAATTGTACAAACTTGAATGAACTGATGAATTAAACGCACTTAAATTAGATGAACTAATTTGAATTAATTTATAAGCTTAATTACATTTAATTACATTTTAAGCGTAATTACATTTTATCAAGAAGAGTATTGCGGATTCTCCTTTAATTTTGTTTATTGATATTTAAAACTTCATCAGATGTAATTAAATATGATATCCGATTAATAAAACAAGTAGAAAATATGAAAAAAATATCAATTGGTTGTACTCCAATGACAGTTTTACGATAGAAGATGTTAAAACCTTTTAAGAAGATTCGGAAGAAATAAATTAGGATGTAAGGTTAAAAAGATTATATAACTCCATGATTATTTTTATTGCTCTTTAAGTTAATTGGTTAGTCAATATTTGCTTAATCAAAAACTCAGTAATATTGGTTCATTCTAGTTGTCACTAATAATTAGCGTATATATTTTATATATGAAAAACTATCCATTGGACTTAAGTGTGTTTTAACTAGCTGATTTCCTAAAACAATTATAAATTAGTATTATTAGAAAGAAAATTTTTCGTTTAATGAAATAAGAAAGAATGTTCAAACTATATATATGAGTTAAAAAGAATTTATTTTTGAGGAGTATTTATCTGACTTTTTTTTTTTTAAATCGGTGTATTTTATTTATACATTTACTATTTAAAATGTTTGTATGACTTGAAGTGCAGTACCATTTTAGTGATTACAATATGAAAAAAATTAACTAAAACATAAAAAAAAATTAAATAAACACCTCTGTCTGAAATAAATCTGCCTAATCTCTAGGATTAGATTTCTATATATCTAAAAAAAATTACTTTTTTTTAAAACTTGTTTATTGAAAATATTGCAATCTGTCTCAAAGGACATTTATAATAGTGTGGAGAGATCACATTCACACTCTTTGTACAATAAATAAAAATAAAATATACATAAAAAAATATATCTACAATAAATAAATAAAAATTAATAAATAAAAAAGAACACATACATACCTATATACACTAATTTCTCAAAATAAATTTCATAATTTCATGTTCTTTATTAGCAAGAAGAAGCGGTAGGTAGCTGAAATAAAATCGACGGAAATATTAAAAGTTATTGTTCAGTACTAAAATATAACAAAAACATATCGAATGCAGGAATGGAATAAATTGGATTAAAATTCACCTATATATAGTATCGCACTGTTCCAGGAAAACATAATATGACCTCACTTAAGGAATATGAATTAATTTTACATAACAAAAAAAAAAAAAAAAACCTGGGTGGTCTACTGAATGACATGTCTTATTTCTATCCGTTTCGAATCCTTTGCATCCTTAACATCACACTGTTCTTTATTATAAATTAAGTAAATAAATCCATGATATCCTTCTTTCTAAGAGTGTTGGGAAGCGAAAATGATTGTCATATTACAGCATGGTATAATAACATTTAATTAACGGACTCATTTATTTATCTTTTGGAGCTTTCGAAGCTCTGTCCCTGATTCATCTAATACATACATTTATACATTAAATTTGTTAATTGTCACCCATTTCTTACTTTCAAAAATGCGTTTACTAAATGAAGCGTCCTACCAAAAATTCATAATCCCACAGTTTCTGCTAAAGAAACCATACAATACATGATATAGGATTGCATATTGGTTTTATAGTTATACAAAACTACTAACGCTGTATGCAACTATTCCACTAAAACATCAATAATAATAATAAATAAACTAAACCGACCAAAGTGCAAAAAAAAAAAAACTTATTAAATCTACCTATCGCATATAAATAAATTCTTCTTAGATCTTATGAAACAAATTCTCTTTTTTTTTTTTCTATTCTCCTCTATTCCATTACCCGATGAGGGTTCCGATGTTTCCTTTTTATATGACTGGATACAATATTATGATTAGTGTATCATAACTTTTTGTAAAAATAGAAAGCGGGATGTGTGAGGATATGGAAAATGTGGTTTGTTTTAAAAATCTACCTCTCTATAAACTAAAAAAAATCCACACGGGGTAGAGATCGTGATTTATGATTCTTTACTTAACTTATATGTCCAACGATTGTCTCTACCTGCGAATCATTTATGTATAAAAAAAGATCTTTGAATCTGCCCAGGAGCGGATCGTTAGATCTTCTTTTTACGTGCACAAATATTAAAGGAATGTCCGGCATGAGGCTTAGAGATTTGATTTACATCGTGAAGTCTTGGCAATGGATAATTCAACAGTCAAATATTTTAGAGCCTTATTTGGCTAGTATGGAAAGCTGAACGCTTGTAAAAATATCCTTTTAAAAAGAAAATAACTGATTTTTCAGAATAAAAATGTCTCTAAGTTAGAAACATCAGGAATGATAAAATAATAAAAAAATCGTTTCGAAAATGGCCATGTGGTGTAGAAGTAGAATCTCAAGAATCCAGTTCAGTTAAAGAATTTATTCAGCTCGTTAATAAGAAGGAAGATTAAAACACTTAAAAACTCGATATAATCGAAACGATTATTCGCAAAAAAGGTGTATATAGATTTGGAGTCCTAGCAGGAAGATGACGACATAGGTCAAAGGAATGGTAAATATGGAATTAAAACGTATTGTTTATAGCTAGAAACAAAACAATATACATCTTCTCTTTGTCAGTGTTCTGCTAATAATAATTAAAGAAACTGAAAAGTGTTAATTTCATTTCTCCGAAACATATTATGACATTAACATACAGTAATCACCACATCCTATTTATTTTTATTTTCTACTTATTTATATTACTAAATATATCGTTTAGTTTATTTGCTTATTAATTACTTTGTAACCGTTATTTCGTCTCCGTTTTCTGTGTAACATCCTGTATAATTTTTCTTATCAC